CTAGGAATGAAAACGTTCATGGTAGACAACCTAAGAAAAATTATCAAAATGTTTTTGTGCATAAAAATATTTTTTCTCAAAATAGAAGAGACAATATGAGAACACCTAGAAATGATCCTTTTGAAAACATGCATAAACCATCCTTTTCTCAAAATAGGACAAACATGGTTAGGCCCCCTAGCTATTATCAACCTAGGCGTATGTTCAACCCAAACGTAGTATGCCATTATTGCAACATGGTAGGACATATAGCTCCTGTGTGTTTTACCAGACATAGGCACTTCACCTACAATGAAACACACAACGTATTTGGTGCTAATGAAAAGAAATCCTTTGGAAAAGGATATTCAAATCATAAACAATCTCCACAGGACAATGCACAAAAGAAACCTTATTATTTCTTCTACTTTGACGAAAAGAAGAATGTCCACATTCCGTTACCGGAACCAACACAAATCACACCGAGATATCGGCACTCCGTTCAGGTAGATTGGAACCCGCCAACCACGAGACGATGGGTTGGCCAAGGTAACTCCTAAACAATCATTTAATCGTGTATGTGTGTGTGCGCATATGGAAACATATTTTGGGTGTGTGTGTGGGCAATAAAGGTAAACTAACCCCCAAGGACCCATAGACTTACTTTGGGTACCAAAGTGCTGTTCTTTTTTGCAGGGACGGTCCAAAGTGAAGAATTCCGGAAGTCAGGGGGAACCAGCGATGGGTGGGTTATACCATCGCTTGGAGGGAAGCTTCTTTCTTTCAAAACCCCTCTTCCCATCGATGGGAACTTCCTCCCATCGATGGGTTATTGACTCTATTTTTAAAAAGATGGTTAACAGATTTCCAGAACACCTTTACCCATCGATGGGTAGTTTATCCCATCGCTGGGTGAGTGCTTGTCTTTGTTTCAGAACCTCCCAACCCATCGATGGGAAGTTCCTCCCATCGCTGGGTGTTTGACACTTTTTTTTAAAATTCATTAACGGATTTTCAAAACTACCAACCCAGCGATGGGATGGTATTAACATCGCTGGGGAGGCCATGTTCTTTTCTTCGTCAATTTCCAGAAGCCACCTTCCCATCGATGGGAAAATCCAAACATCGCTCGGAAGGCAGCCTTGGGTTCTTCCTCGCTTTCCAGTGGCGACCTTCCCATCGATGGGTAGATCCTACCATTGCTGGGAAGGCACCTGCATTTCAAAAATTCAGAGCCGTTGGGCACCACATTAATTGCCCAACAGCTATATTTTTGAATCCAAACGGCCTAATCTCCCATTCCCTATATATATCCCTCATATTTGCTCATTCTAATACACCATTAACATCATAATTTCATTCCTTGATCCAAATCTCAATATTTCTTCAATCTTTCTTCAAAAACGCCTCAATCATGGCCGGAGGAAGATCAAAGTCTAAAGCTTCCAAGAAGAAAAGCACCGCCGAACCCTCAAGTTCCGCGCCTCTTCCGTTCCCATATTTGGACGGATCATTTCTTGAGTTCGGGTCGGAGGAAGAACTCACACGCTTCCTCACTCACTTTGCCAAGC